TAAAATAGATAAAATATATAATACAAAAAAAGAATTGGGTATATATAAAATATTGTATATTCATTATACTAAACAAAAATAAATATGAAATGTAAGAAGTATTTTCATTAATGCTGAAAATGGAATGCCAAATTTAAAATCAACTAAGAAATAAAATGACATCATAGTCAAATAATAAAAATTCTAAAATTAAAAAATACAAAGAATCACAAAAATAAAAAAATAGAAAAAATTTTGGGCACATATCTAATGTTATATATTTATAAAAAATAAAAAATATTGGGTACATCTCTAATATTATACATTCATTATATTGAACAAAAGTAAGTATTATACATAAGAAATAATTTTATTAGTGATGGATATGTAATACAAAATTTAATGTCAATTTAGAAATCAAACTATTTTTCCCTTTTGGGTGGTGGTTTAGTGATTTGGGTCAAACAGATTAATCGATGATATGATAGTTAAATAATAAATCTTTTAAAAAATACCAGTAGTAAAAAGAATATATATAAAAATTATATATTAATTATGTAAAAGAAAAATTAAGTTTGATAAGTCAAAATCATTTATATAATGTAGATGAAATATATAATTTAAAATTGATTTGAAAGCAAAGCTATTTTCTTATCTATATGGTGGGTCAGTGATCCAACTTTTCAAAAAAACCCAAGATGTCATAACTGAATAATAAATATTTAAAAAAAGGGTAAAATACAAAAACCTCCCCTGAAGTTTCTATCAATCATAAAAACCTCCCCTATAGTTTCACTTTAGCAAAAACCTCCCCTCTATTTTTGAAAAAATTCAACAAATACCTCCCTTCCGTCGATGACCAAGAYGGAAAACGTTTAAGAGATGATCATTTTTTTCAAAAAGCCTATTTTACCCTTTACAAATTAATGTGCATATGTTTTTACTAAAATAGCCATGTCTCAACAACTCCATAATCTACTCGAACATTGTTCATCTTCTTTCTCACAACGCACAACGGTAGAATGGTAGTGCACTCCCCCTCCAATCTTCCCTTTTCTTTAATCTCCCTGTGACTCTCTCTCTCTCTCTCTCTCTCTCTCTCCCCACCAACACAAAATAGCACTATTCATCATTCCCCTCTCCCCGACTAAAACACACAACGATGGCGATTGAATTCGATCTCCACCTCCAGCCATCCGACTGTCAATTGTCCAATAATGGTACTAGGATGGTGGACTAATTGTCAATCTCCACTTTCGACCTCACAAACTGTCAATCATCCAACAAATTGTTAGAGTCCCTTGATAAACTAATCCAAACCCCCCCCTTCCCCAACCTTCTTTCAAATATTTTCAATCATATTTTTCAATTCCCCACATGAAATTTTCTCTGATTTCTGCAAATTCTTCTACTCTCACATGCATTAAATAAAAACTCTAGAAAAGTATATGGGTTCGATTATTTTAGGCCAAATAAGAAAAACCCATGTCAAATTTCAAATGAATTTCCTAGATTTTTCAGTGTAATACTGTTATTTGGGAATCTGCCTCTAAATTATTGAACCCATTCATCTCCTTTGATGGAAAAAGTGAAATTTCATTCACATGTGACAGATATCCTATTACACGTCTGTAAATTAAAATTCACATGTTTAGTCCAAAAAAACGGTGCAGGATTGTTAATACAAATCCTAATAAATCAAAGAGAGAAAAAAAAAACTATRAGGAGCCTCTGCGAATCGGACGGAGGTTGAAGTCGGAGCATGTCGTTTGTCTGGTCAAGAGCAAAGAACTGAACCCTAGTCTCGAAGCACTCACATCCAACTATACAAGATTCTTCTCCAACTGAAGTGTCTCTGATAGGTCGATGCCTGGAACCACTGTATAAGGCCCATTGCCGAAGAAAACAACTCCGTCCGATGCAATTGACGATGACAAATAGATAGCGAACTTTCGATTGAAATTAAACGCTATCGCAAGCTACGACGGTAGTCCAATTCAGTTGCGACCGAAGCCCGCCATTCCCTTGACACCGCTCGCTAAATGAGCCAATAGGGGAGTTGGGGCACACGAGAAGAGGAAGTGATGAGTGGCAGCAATTGGGCCAGGTTCTAATTCGTATGTAGAGGGAAGGGCTATCACGTACTGCAAGCTCGTCGTTAGTGACAGTGCCGGTGACGGTGTTCTCTAGGGAAAACCACAGGTGTGGTTGTTATAGCCGGGGCGAGGAGTAAAGAAGCAAAGGCCGCAAC